ATTCGTTAAAATTCTTGAACGAACCGAATATAATGGCAATTGTGATGAGTTCGACAGCAAATAACAAGTATAACATCACTCCCGATATGAACAGTAAAGTTGTGTTCTCAACCAAAACGGCGTAAATGCCATTCAATGCAATCAATATATTCATAGATCCGATTCCTATCAGAATTATTAGCGAATATTCTGTCAATTCTATAGAAATCATCACTTCTTGGCTTTGAATCTCGCATTTATTGTTAAAATTTATCAAATAGTTTTGAAAAGCAATGTTTGTAAACATTATTACAAAACCGTATACAATGAATATTGTATTGAATATTAATAAATTTCTCTTCCGAGTGTTGTTTTTCATTCAATCAAAAAATTAGTTAATCATTACATGAAAATTCAATATTTTTAAAAATCGTTTAATCCAATAAACATTTAATCCAACAAACATTTAATCCAATAAACATTTTGTTCAAATATTGTACATTAAAATGTAATCAAAATCAATGTTTTCACAAACAATATGTTAATAAAACTTTTTGTTTTGTATTATTGTTTAAACATAATTCAAAATTAACATAAAAATTCAATAAACATAATATAATTTGTCGATTAGTTTTTAATACAAACTTTTTATAAAACAAATAACTGATTTGTAATAAAACGAAAGCATAACTTGTTGTACAAACAAATAACTTAATGATAATAATTATATAGAATTCATGACTAATGCTGTGATTGTCGTAAAGCCTATGGAATCGATACAAGAATAGCAGAATTTCACGAACGCTCGCAATCAAGAAATTCTTGAGTTTTTCAAATTAAACCTCAAATTAAACACATTTGACCACAAAATCTCAACATTTCACAAATTCACGGCATATGAAGACTTCGTGCAAACAATAATTCTCACCCAAATTGCGGTCTCAGATGTGGTCTTAGATTAGGCGCAAAGAATCGCAAACTATTTCTTAAGAAATTCGTGTTTCGCTTAAAGCACTTCCACTGAACACCTCTTTAATGTCCAAAACTAATCATTGGATTTATTTCTTAACACTTATTAATATATTATACACTACTTTATAGTTGTGAACGTCGGCTGCAATCCATTCACTTGATCTCAGCAGTCGTTCAATTGAATCATAAAATCAATAATAAGTTTTTTAAGCGAAATATTGTTCAAAAAACTAAATAAAATCCAATTAATTATTCAAAACAAATCCCATTAAATATATCTCAACACATATTTTCTAAGAAATTCCTTAACTTTTTTGTTGAATAAGTTATAAAAAATTTAAACAAATTTAAATAAACCAAAAAACAGTAAAAAACGGAAATTCTTGATGTGTTTTATTAAAGAAAAGTGATTAAGAATTGAGAAATGTATTCAATTTAAAGCTTATGCTATTATAAAGACATAAATGTTTGAAATAATTTATAGTGAATTTCGAGGAATTAATGGCATATTTCTCGGAATTGTTTGAATCGATTTTTCTGAAGAACTGCTCTATTATTACAGCCATTGAATGGCATAACCACTGAAAGACATGACAATAAATATCAATAATAACATACATTACTCTAACTGTTAGAGTCTAACATAAGGTGAAACGTGTTTCAAATGAATTCAATTAAACTAATCGACAAATAATTGTTTTTCAGACAAACAAATGTTTATTTAATTAACGTATAATGAGATCAAGTCTTAAAGTCATCGAAGGCTAAGAATTTGCGAATAATTAAGTGTTTGAAACATTGATTAAGACTTACGGTTTTCGAGGACGAGTGAGAGGGCGTCCGGACTCACGAAGCGGTTGTATTGATGGACACCTTTCGGCACTAATCGGAGCACATATTCGGCCACAAAGACGGCCGCAAACAACGCGACGGGCGTCTGGTTTATAGTCGTTATAAACAGATTTCCGCCCCGTTTTAGACATGATATGCCAGAAGTGAGGAACAGATCGATGTCATCGATGTGTTCAATCACTTCGCTGGCGATCACACCATCGAAAGACTCAATCGATTGCTCTCTTTTGGCAAAGTCTTCGACGGAAACGCATTCGTATCGCAGATTATCGGCGAGTGTTTTGTCGGCCATCGCGTGATTGGCGGCCATTTCGATGTTATCGCCCGTGGGATCAATTCCGGTGACGTGAGCGCCGAGTCTGGCCAACGGTTCGGACAGAAGACCGGCGCCGCATCCGATCTCTAGTAATCTTATTCCTGACAACGGTTTGGATGTGTTAACCGGTGACGGACTGTATGTGTCTCTAATGAAGGGAACTCTCAACTCATTCATCTTCACGAGTGGTGCGAAGAGCCGATGTGTCCGCCAATCCATGTCTTTATAGGACCGAAATTTGTTCACTTCTTCCTCACTGACAGTCGTTTTGTTTGATTGCATTGAAAGCCTTCGGAGACACCGATTGAATCCATGTCTCAGTTCACAGACAGAGAGATAATTGACTAATAATTTAGTTTTGATTAAAGATCTCATCATTTAATCACTTATTTGTCAACACTTTTGACGATTTGTTTTGCATTTGTTTTTCAATTCAATCGTAAAAATGGTTTTAAAATTTGTGCAAAACATGACTTCTGGAGAAAATAAATTACGATTTTATTTACCAATAATTTTAATGTTTAAACTCACGAAGAATTGGAACAACTATTCGAGATTACCATTGATTATCTCATTGTGAGGTTGTTTCTCATTTAAAACTATATAACTTATAGAATTTGTAAAATTTAATTGTAATTTATTTCATTAAAATTACTAAAAATTAATGCAAACTTTATTTCATTGAATTTGTGATAGACTTTAAAATAAGTTTTAATCAATAATTTAATTTTAATAGAAGTCCTCCTCGTCTTCGTCGTTGCCTTTGATCTGTTCCTGACTTTTATACATCTCCGAGACCTGAGCCGAAGTGGTGGCCATCTCTGGCTTCTTGTCGTCACGAATGCGCAAAAATCGTGGAAATCGTAATGAGATTCCCTTCTCGTCGTTAACGAAACCGATGGCCGCTCTGTGGACCGGACTTATGGACAGATCGGCGCACTTCACTTCCCACACCATCACAGCGTCGAACCACACGTCGGGTCTATGGCTGTCGTCGTAATTGTAATAAGACTTGGGTTTATCAATGGTGTGATTGTTGAGAAAATTTGCGTGATTTTCCAGATCTTCGTCTTTAAAACCGGTTCCTATTTTGCAGATGGACTGAAACTCTTCAGTGCCGTCATCATAACAGGCCAACAGATATCCGCCGTAAACGCCGGTTCTCTTTCCTTTGCCCCGATAGCCACCGATCACCACCAGATCCAGAGTGTCTCCAACGCCTTCCAAATAGTCTTTCTTGAGTTTTAGCCACTTTTTGGAGCGTTTGGCGATTTCATAGCTCGCGTCCACATCTAATGTCTTAACCATAAGACCCTCGCATTTGTCTTTAATGGATTCTTCGAGAAACTCTTGTATCTCTTCAGTGGTGTTGACATCTGTCGAGTGCGCGAAAGTGAACTCTCCCTCACATTCTTGGAAATTATCTCTCAATAGTTGCCTCCGTTTGCTGAGAGGTTCGGCCACTAAAGACTCGCCGTTCAAATACAAGAGATCAAACACATAGAGACACACCTGGATCTTGATCTCTCCCTCTTCGGCATTCTTACGCTTCCGAGTGCTTAACACCTGAAACGGTAGGATCTGTTTGTTCTGTCGATCCCACGCCACGGCCTCCGAATCAATGACAAAATTTTTAACGTCAGGTTTGATGGCATTTGGGATGCGTTTAATAATATCCGGATATTTAGTGGTATTGTTCTCTTGATTACGACTGAAGACAAAGACATTTCCGTTGTCTAAGTAATGGATTTGTGCCCTTTCGCCGTCGTATTTGTATTCACACGTGAACTTCGACTTATCAAACCGTTTGAGCACTTCGTCGACCCCTTTGCTCGGATGTGCGAGCATTGGCTTCAATGGTATGCCTGGAGTCAGTTGACAATGAGTGGGAAGGGCTTCGATGCCCTCCTTAAGCATAACGGGAATGATTTTGTCATAATTAGGACATTCACTGTAAGCGGTCTTCAGTATAAGGGAAGCGTCGGCCAGTTGTGTCTTAAACTTATCGGACCCTCTCTTCAGCTTCTCATTGTTGGTCATAATCACCGCTTGAGTGATGGCATTGAGGAGCGACTGTTCCGCCAAACCTATCCTCAACTTCCCGGCCAACGATCTGACGAGATATCGGGCCTCACAGTCACGACAGGCGACTAACATAGACTCAATCATTTTACACTTCTTGTCTTGCGTTGAGTTACCACTCATTTGAGTGATTGCTTTGAATTTGTCAAACACTGAGCCGACGGTCAGCTTCGGCGGTGCGAACAACACCTTCTGATTGGATCGACTCATTTCAGCCACTGTTCCCATATCTCCCTTCTTCTCGATGTCGGCTTTGATTTGATCCTTAGTTCTTCCGGTCGCCGATGCGATCGCTTTTATTATCAACGACTCACCGATTCCTACAAAAGCAAGAGACGGATCAAAACAATGGTCTAAACAATGAATATTAGCTGCAAAACGAGTACCCATTTCGAGGCCTTCATAATCGGGACAAACTTTGTTGAGACAAAGGTATATGGATTTGATTAAGTCGTCGGACGAGAGGGCGATCACCGAACGGAAGTAATTGCTGAGAATCTCAATCATCTTCAGTCGTCCGGAAGTGTCTTCAATCATCTTCAGAGTGGAAGCGAAGGCCAAATACGGCACTCTTTCGCCCGATTTCCAGATGGCGTCCGAAACGGGATTGTAATCGGCTTTCGACGGGTCGTACAGACGTGTGGCCACCGATTGGCCGCCATTTGGCTTAGCGCTGGTCTTCGAGAACATCTCTCGGCGACAAAACAAACACTTCTTGATTGACAACTGTTTAAAGTTTTTGACAAACAATTTGTGCATAAAATAAATGACAAGAAATGACACAAAATGTGATTTCAATTGTTTTGCGAAATCACTTGTTATTGCGTTCGCGCTTTAAATCCATACAAACACCACATATAGTGTACAAAACTCTGAACTTCAATGTTTTTTAAGTTTTATGCATTACTTTTTAATGACAACTATTTAATGACACTTATTTATAGGCTATATATTTGTTGCAATTAATATTAATCTGAATTAATATCAGCATTAAATCCAGTGTTTAATAAACAAAGTGTTTGCTATACTTAGTATAGACTGTATCTTTATTTAAAGTACACGTGGTTTTGTTTAAATGGCAGTGAGAGAAGTGTAGTGGATGTCTGGCCCCTTAGCTCAGTTGGTTAGAGCGCCGTGCTAATAACGCGGAAGTCGTGGGTTCGATCCCCCCAGGGGCCACTCTTTTGGANACGTGGTTTTGTTTAAATGGCAGTGAGAGAAGTGTAGTGGATGTCTGGCCCCTTAGCTCAGTTGGTTAGAGCGCCGTGCTAATAACGCGGAAGTCGTGGGTTCGATCCCCCCAGGGGCCACTCTTTTGGACCATATTCTTTTAATTATTATTTATTTTTAATTATAATTATATTGTAATCTTTTGTTTTTACTACTATTTCCTCTCTGTATTGTTTAAAAGACTTTTTCTTATAAACAAAAGTTTTGTTCAAACGTTTATTCACACATTAATTGGTTTATCTGTTATTTTTGTTTCGACAAACTTTTTGTAAATTTTGGTTTTGTTTGATTTTAATTATTTAGTAATTAATAATTATGTTTTATAACAAAAATTAAATTATAAGTTTTAAACGTAATAATAATTAACAAGTGTTGTAATCCAATCGCAATTTATCGATAGCAACGGTTCCACTGGTTTTGAGATCAAACTTGGCTTCGATGAAGAAGCGGACGTCACCTCCTCTGAGGTCGACATTCATGCGTTTNAAGCGGACGTCACCTCCTCTGAGGTCGACATTCATGCGTTTTGTCATCCAATCGTGCGATACATCGCTCGCTGTCCACAGTTTTCTGTCCCTTTTGTCCTGTTGTGTGACTGAAATGTATTGTTTAGTCTTTGAATCGGAGTAATACTCGAGTGTCAAACAGCCGTAGATTTTGCCATAACTCGGGTAATAAGGAGTGACGAGTCGGGCGCCGATAGTCGTCGCTTTGCTTACGTCTAACGAATACATCTGTTGTCGATGACCACCGATCAGAGCGTCTTTATATGTGAACAGTGTCTGCATTGAGGCATCATTTTTAATACCGCAGTCATTGGTCTTGAAATTACATTCAAAGAACTCACACTTCGATAAACTAACGCAACTTAATGTCAAAATTAAGGCAATTTTGTAGTCAAACATTATTAAGAATTCTTGTTTTGACGATATCTTGATATTTTAATAATTATTGTTAAGCCTCTTAAAAATCTATCACCAATTTTATTTTTATAAATATACTAATTTTTTGAAGAAATAATTAACGTTTTGAACATCCTTATCTGTCTACACAATTTTCACTATTAGTTTAATAATAACTTAAAGTACAAAATATCGATTTCAATGGTTTATAAAGTACTATTGTTTCTAACGATATTTTAGATATGCTATCATTTTTATTATAAAATCATGTATTTTTGTACATTTAATAATAAAATGCTGTAATTGATAAAAGTAATAATAAATTAAAATGATAAAAATGTTATAAATTTAACAATGCATTAATTATGACACCGATTAGAATCGGAATCAAATCATTGGAAACGGCTATTAATTATAATACAAGATATCAAAATATATGACATTATTTAGTATTACATTCCTATCACTAAAATATTCACAAAAAAACAAATGAAATACGAGTTATATTTACGAAACAAACATATTTTAAGCCAATTATTTAAATTTGAAACAACATTCAGTAAGTTTGGCCGACGGCTAAAAATACTGCAAAATAATGTTTTCACATTAAAATATTTTTT